TGAAACTAAACAATGACTTGTATAACGTTAATAACTGGTTAATAGCAAACAAGCTTACTTTAAACTTAAAAAAACTGAATTTATGCTAATAGCTTCTAAACGAAAATTGAAACAATTCTCTTATGACCCATGTATACTGATTGGTAATCATAACATCAAACAGGTAACCAATAAAAAAGTACTGGGAATTACGTTAGACGATGAACTGAGATGGCATAAACACAATGATCTTCAATGCAAATAACTATCCAAGAGCATTGCCTTATTATAGACGAGCCAAACGATTTGTCAACCAAAACGTCTTAATTAACATATACAACTCACTAGTCTTACCTCACTTTACACCTATTGCTCCAACGTGTGGAATGACGGCAGTCGTACACATACAGACAAGCTTTTAAAAATGCAGAAACGAGCGGCTAGAATTATCACAGGGTCAACTTACGAAGTAAGATCGAAATATATATTTAATAACTTACACTGGGAACCAATTGAAACCACTCTTAAGAAAAGAGAAATGATAATGACATTTAAGGCCTTACAAGGACAACTGCCAGAATGTATGACCAACTTCTTTAAAATTTGCCTAAATGATATGTACCCATTAAGAAGTAATAACTGTAAACTTTATTTGGAGAAACCTAAACAGACTTCTTGAAGAATTCGTTTTCATATCGAGGTGCGGCATCATGGAACAATCTTCCAAATGATGTTACCAACAACTACAAAGTGCTCTCCATAAGTAACTTCAAAACTTTAATCAACAACTATTTCACCAATTTGGAGAGGAATAGTGTATGATAACCACTTGTGGGGCGGATTTTGATTCGAAGGAGTAATTTTCTGGGTCTGGGAGGGTTAACATAACATACTATTTCTAGTTATATATGTGAGTCATTCTAATTTATATATAGTGTTCATTGCATGGGCTTTCTCTTTTACACAGTTAGTATGTACAATAGATTTTTCGTATTTGTAAATATTCTAACAGCCCCTTGAAAAGCAGTTTAATCTGAAGGGATATCGTTTTTAAATAAGATGAATAATAATAATAATAATAATAATAACATAAGCCTGGAGGTCAGGAATTTGACATAAAAGACGTTCCTTAAGACGCGAAGTGTTCATCCGTCTAGTACATTCATAACCGAGCTGCTGCAAGCAGTCTGTGTACATTCGTGCCAGGTCTGCGCGTTTAAATGTTGGCAGCTCTTTTCTAGTTGACTGTGTTTCTTTGATAAGTGTGACAAGCTGCGCCGGGGAAATGCCATCCTGACGGTGAGGCATTACGTTCTCCGGCACATTATCTCTTTTGGGGCATGGCGTACTCTGCGTTCCTATACAGCATTCCAAGGCACTGTGCGTGATAGCGTGCCTCTAGAGCAATCAGATCTCCACAGCCAAGTTGACTAATAGCTTTTCGCCATTTAACAACGATGCGCACTCACGGACTTAAGCATCTACCCCAAGTGTCGTGACACAGTGTAACGGCTGATCATCAGACTCGCACAAGAAACAAGAGGGACTTGTGTCTTTGGTGTAGGCATTGGCATTTGAACGCGTAAAATTTTCACCACCTATCGGCTGCTTCTTCTTTTCTCTTTTTCCAGCTCTTTTTAGCCTGGTCGAGTTGACAAGGGCATAACAACTTCTATGCCATCGGGCATTGTTCTTTATTAAAGTTGCTGCGATGCCACCGCCTTCGTTCAATCGGGATAGACAGATTTCCCTTGGGATACATCCCAGATTCGCAAATTTCTCTAAATTGCCTGCCATTGTTTTATATCCAGCACCTATGTCTTGGCGTTTTGAGTCTGCAGGGCACTGTAAAGGCTCTTCGCTAATTGATTCTTGGCATAACGCACAAAGCCTCCATTCAGTCTTTGCGGTGACAATACCTTCAGGGTCATCCATGGGATTATCAAACAAATTCTATGGATAATCGAAACGAACACCATCAATAATCACATTTGCTTAATTTGAAGAATGTTGGGTCAATAGAAAACTGTCAAAGAATTCAATACACTGAGAAACTATTTTATGAAAAAAAATTGTGGGTCACCAATGTCTTTTCCGATTTTAATTATTTAAAGCCAAAATATACATATTGAAATGTGATCATTGTCTTGGCAAAGTAGCCCTGTAAAATTGATTTTTTTAAATTCGAACTCGTAGTTTATGTTGTTTTAAGTAAGGCTCTTTGTTTTTCAATTAGTACATAATAATTGTCAAAAAACTAAAGATCACAATCGCGATTTCCATTAAAAAACTTATCGAACCACGAGAAGACAGTAGAAAACTGTGCCTGAAAACCAAAAATTACTCAGAATTATATAATCAATATTTTCATCTTAAGCTGTCTATGTGTCTTGTGGGGAAAGGGAGTTCAAACCTTTCAGAAGTCCCACACGTTCACAAATTAAAATAGAATAAACGACAAACAAAAAATATTTAATAAAAAGGTCACTATGTCACAATCGTTTCGATATATAAATCACCGTCTCTCACCGAGTATATATAACAACACACGAGTCACAATACACAAGCCCACAAAATCTGTTTGTTATTGTCATGCTGCCCTAATCACGTGATTACTTTGCCCAATCATAATTGTCTATATTCGTTTGGAACGTAATATCCCTAATTAATCTAAAATTTACTATAATTGAATTAGTGCTAAATAGTAATAAGGTCAGTTTCCGACACACTCCCCCATGTGAATCTGCTAGGAGTCACATGCAATATGGAAACTTTCTAATAATCGTACATAGTTACCAATCAGTGTTCCTGTTCATTTCGAAGAATATCTTTATTTCTCAAATCTCCAGCAACAGCTGCATCTCTCTTTGGGCGAAAAGGTGGTGCCTCAGGGTTAAGGGTCTCCGGCGTCGCTGGACGTTTGTCACAGGAGAGCTCTGAGGGGTACAGATGTTGAACGGGTCTTTCCAAATATGTCTTACCTGCACGCAACTTCACAGCACGAGCAACACCGTCCTTTCCAGGGAAGAGCTTTTCTACAATCCCAAGCGGCCACTTCGCTCGATTTCGTTCGTCGGAACGCACGATAACGACATCCCCAACACCGAGATTTGACGACTTTCCGTCCCGATCACACCGATGTCTTTCTCTCAACGCAGTTAAATACTCCGAACTCCAACGTTTCCACAGGGCATCTTTACAAGATCGCAGGTACTTGGCTTTCTTACGTAAATCGACTAATTCGCGCCACGGTTCTAACTCAGGGATCCGATTTGATCGTTGGAATAGTAACGATGCGGGAGTCAAGATAGGAAATTGGGGGTCATCTTCTACGTAGTCTAACGGACGATTGTTTAATTCTACTTCAACATTGAGCACAACATC